TACGTTCAGGCGACTGATGAAGCTATTACTTAAGAACTTGAAAAACGTGGAGGTTTATGGTGATGATCTCGTCATATACAGTCAAACGAAAACGATCACGTCAACCATGTAGAAGCCGTGCTGCGACGCATCGAAGAGTTTGGACTACGCGTCAACAAAACCAAGTCTCAGATAGCCAAAAAGAATGTTACTCTGTTGGGACATAAAGTGGGAAATGGTGAGATTAAACCACTGCCGGAGAAAATTTTGACGATTAAAACGATTCCAGCCCCGAATTCAAAGAGAAAACTGAGACAATTCTTGGGTAGAGCAGCGTTTTATAGTCGCTTCGTGAAGAACTTCAATGAGATAGCAGCCCCTCTATACAGGCTACTAGGTGAGCCAAAGTTTGTTTGGTCGGAAGAATCGCAGAGGACATTCGACAGAATTAAACAGCTGCTCGACCACCAACAAATGACGCTAAAACTACCTGTGCCAGGAAGACAGTTCACAGTGTGCACAGATGCCAGTGACTACGCTATAGGTGCGGTCCTAAGACAGGACGAGGGAATCGTTGAGTATGCCAGTAGGGTGTTGACCCTCACAGAGAGAAAGTATTCAACGATAGAGAAAGAATGTTTAGCAATGGTATGGGCAGTCGACAAATGGAGACCTTATTTACTCGGCCGGCGGTTCCACATCGAAACTGATCATAAGCCGCTACAATTTTTGAAGACAGCGAGAGACCCACGGGGGAAGTTGTCACGGTGGATGTTGCGTCTTCAGGAATACGATTTTACGATCTCACACGTTCCTGGAAGTGAAAATGTCTTGGCAGATTTGTTATCGAGACCAGAAGATGAGTCTGAGTTGCCCGAGGTCGCTTACGGAGTGCATGCAGTAGAACAAGACCCACTAAGACTTGCACGTAGGCAGAGGTTGGACGATACGCTGAATACAGTAATACAGGTGATCACCAACGGAATAGAAGTGGATCAAACTACGGCGAGTAAGGAGCTAACCACACTACTCAGACAGAGGGATCGACTCAGAGTGAATGCCTACGGGACTCTGACCTGGCGAGAGAACGACGGAAGCTGGCTGGCTGTCATACCTCAATCGTCGCGCCACGACATGATAGAAGAATGTCACCAGCTAGCGCATACAGGCGTGGCCAGAACGACCGACCTCCTAAGACAAAGTATGTACTGGCCAGGTATGAGAGAAGACGTAGCAAGATACGTACTTGGATGTCCACGGTGCCAGCTGATGAAAGGTGACCGGTATATACGACCACCACTTCAGTCGATTCCAGTTACCGCGATAGGTGACTTGTGGTCCGTAGATGTCATGGGTCCATTTCCTCAGACATCCAATGGTAATCAGTACCTCTTGGTGATGACGGAACACGCGACACGATGGGTAGACGCCGTAGCAATCCCAGACCAACGTGCAAGAACCGTGACAGATGCAGTAGTTAGACACATTGTTGCAGACCACGGCGTACCGAAGACAATACTGACAGACCAAGGTCCCTGTTTCGAGAGTGAAGAGTTTACTTCCCGTTTGCAACAGCTGGGCATCAAGAGGATCAGAACGACCCCATACCATCCACAAACGAATGGCCTAACGGAGAGAAACAACCGTACACTGAAAGAGTGGCTGGCTTCGAAGGGCGGGAACTGGGAAACGGAGCTTCCACTGATTTTACTAACACATCGGGCTACCACTCAGGAAACAACGAAGAAGTCACCCTTCCAACTGATGTATGGCAGAAAACCACGATTACCGGTACACAATGAGACCTGGCCCATGCACCAAAAGTGGAGTACGACGAAATTAAAAGCAGAGAGGAAAGAGGCAGTCAAGAATGTAATACGGAAGCAGCGCAGTGATGTCACGAAGTCTCAGATGAAAGAAAGGACGCAGTGCATTACTTTTGCAGTCGGGGACCAAGTGAAGTGTAGAGACAGGAGATATACAGTTGGAGGCGGGCTAGGTTCACGGAAACTCCTTCCAAAGTGGGAAGGACCATACACAATCACAAAAAGACGGGGTCAAGTATATACCATCCGAAGAGGTGATAAACAGAAACGAGTTAACGCCAGTCAGCTACAAAGATGGGTACAGTGGGACAAGCCGGTCAGTAACAATCCTCAACTAGAGGATGTAGCACCCAGAAGGTCGGAACGTCTGCGCACAAAGCTATTTGACGGGGGGACGAGTGTGGTGAGAGCAGGCTGCTAGCCGATTGGTTGGCACTAATCTACGTTAATGTCTAGGTCACTAATATTGACCGTGAACAAGGCTGTTTCAACAACCAATCACAGCAAACCTAAATGTGGACAAATATGATTCGCAGATAGATGGCTCTACTTTCCGAGAAATATCGAACACAACCAATCATAAGACTGTGTTTGTCTGCTTAACTTCCGAGAAACAACCAATCAGAAGACTGCCTTTTTCTGCTTGCATAAGCCTTATTAATGCATATAAAATATATATAAATACGTGTTGATTTTCGTAATAAAACGATCTGTTGCCAGCCCTTGTCTTCTGTTGTTACACTACCATCTGTCGACGGCATTGTGAATAGTATTTCACAGTTCAATTATAATCCAGATGCGAATGTCACTTTTGACACATGGTATCAACGATATGAGGATTTATTCACAGTTGATCTCGCCTCACAAGACGATGCTTGGAAGGTGCTTGTGTTATTACGTAAATTGGGTCCCGCAGAATATGAGAGGTACTGCAACCTAATTTTACCCCAAAAACCACGTGACAAGTGTTTCGATGATACAATAAAGCTGCTGCGTGAACATTTTGGAGACCACTCCTCATTATTCAGCATACGTTATCGTTGCCTCAAGCTGACAATGAATGAAAATGATGATTTTCTTACTCACGTTGGCACAGTCAACCGAGAATGTGAGAGATTTCGACTCAGGTCCTTAACAGATGATCAATTCAAAGCCTTGATCCTCATATGCAGTCTCCAATCTCCTCGTTTCACAGATATCCGAACTCGACTGCGCAATCAGCTAGAACAAAATCCCAAGTTAACATTACGTGACATAGCTGATGAATATCAACGGCTGATTAATTTGCAGAAAGACACACACCTGGTCGAATCAACACCTTCAAGAAGCTCTGATATTCGTGCATTACGCAAGAGCAAAAATCTCTCATCAGCTACTCCTGATCCACCTTCTCTTAATGTCCCGCGGAAATCTATACATACTCGTCCAACTTCACAAAATACGACAAAGAAGACCCCTCCATCACCATGCTGGCATTGTGGCGCGTGGCACTTTGTAAAGTCTTGTCCATACAAAAATCATCGTTGCAGCAAGTGCAAAATCATTGGTCATAAAAATGGATTTTGCCAGCCACGCAAACCCAAATGTCAAAATCCAGCAAAAGCTCAACAAAATGTTGGTCCTAAATCCCCCAAAAAGTCATTGAGTCTACGCGCAACCCGTCAAGTCACAACGCCAGGTATGCGGAAATATCTTGATCTTCAGATGAACGGTCATGATGCACGTCTGCAGCTAGATACCGCCTCTGATATTACTGTTATATCAGAGAAACTTTGAATAATATTGGCAGACCACCGATCGGATATACTTCCCAGACTTTTCTCAGCGCCTGTGGTGGGCGGCTCAAACTTATTGGTGAACTCAAATGTTCCGTTTCCTTCCGCAATACCAAATTCACAGGAATTTGCTACGTCACCAAGAGTGATTTAAATCTTTTGGGACTTGATTGGTTCGATCGTTTGCATCTGGCTGATGTCCCACTAAATTCGCTATGCAATGCAGTCAAGAAGAATAAAATGTCATACAATTCCAGACGAAGCCGAAGCCGCAAACCCAACAGGCAGACGAAACGACAGACGTCAACAACAAGCTCAACGGTTCCAGATAAACCCCCAGGTAAACATCCTACTAATCATCAATCTTCTCAAAAGGGGAGGTGATATGTATCCACATATATATATTTATGTGTGTGTGTATGTTGGTCGCTCTTTCTGTTTGCTCGCTTAGTCTGTGACCATTTCACTTGTGTGAACTTGTCTCCTTTAATAATGTGTATTCTCCTTATATTATATTATATATAATATGAGTGTTTGTTGACAGTCCGTTGCTTGGTGACATATATCCATATTATATGTGGGGATGTTGACATGTCTGCTGTATTCGCTATGTATATTTGGATCGACACTCCATTATAATTAGCCATCCATGTTAAGACTGTCTAATGATTTATTCCCACGCTTTGTCTGGAACATTCATATATATTTCGCATTCACAATTTGTGTGACTACTTTACTTACTTACCACTTTGGTGTGAGACCATTTATTTTCGTCTCCTTGTGTTTGGACAATAGAAGTATCATCGCAAACCTAGTGGTCTTCTGATTTCCGCCTTCTCGCGTCAGGACTATTAGTTTCTCGACCAGTCCATAACAATAATTTAGCGACGAGTACATAACAGTAACAAGTTGATCCCTACCTCACTGAAATCAGTTAGGGTTAAGTCCATTAGTACAACTATGTTGAAATTAAAGTGAAATTGGGATAGTGGGCATCCCTGAAGGACACCACTAGTTGTCAGCACTTCAGATGACAACTTGCCGTAAGTTCTTACCTGGCTTGCTGGATGCGTTTGAGTAGAGTGCCTTATCATTATTAAATATTGTTATACTGTATGGCTGTACTAAATCTAATAAATCAGTTTATCATGAAATTATATCATTTATATATATATATATATATATATATATATATATATATATATAGCGCCGAGTTTATATTCTTATGCTTATTTACCAGACTGTCAGGCATACTTGTTGTGCAAGTGCTGACGATATTACCCAGGCTGTGAGGTAGATGGAGTGGGACTCGAACTCTGACCCAACATTATTGCCTATGTAACTGTATTTGATGTTTTCTCTACTCCATTTGTATATATCTTTCTAACTATTTTACTGTTTGTAATGTATATATAAACAGGAATCGAAAGCACTCGTTAGCCGATGATGCTATCAACTCAGAAGTGAACGTTGGTTATAAGAGTGATAGTGAAGTATTGTACAATCATACAGACTGTAAAACATCTCCATCATCACCGCCTTTATCGTCCTCTTCATCTTCATCTGCTCCATCGTCATCTCCGTTGTATAAATTCAAATCAGCATTCCCCAGTCTCTCTAGACGTTCTTCTTCATTGTCTAATCTAATCAATCATTGTATGCTGCTGAAAACTTCACTGCTATCCAATTCTATGATGTCTGAAAGACAAAGATCACATTCAAAGATTTTTTCATCGTCGTCATCGTCATCGATATTTTCCAGGTCTTCATCTTTTGCTAGTAGTAACATGAATAACAACAGCAATAATGACAACGACCTTGATAGTAATGCTGATGTTCATCATCTATGCAGTGTTGCTTGGATAACTGAAAAGTTTCGTACGCCTAAAACTTTGAAAGATCGTCTAGGCGTTACAAAATACTTCTAAGCCTGCGTTTTTTTTAAAAAAATTTTTTGTTTTCTTATATGTGTGCAGATTCCCTCCTACATTATTTTGTATTTTGCTCTTTTTTATGTAATATATTTTCATTTGTAGATATATTTTTATTTATTTATACGTTGTAATAAAATTGCTGGAGGGTTGTACAGATTAAAAATAGAGATTTGATTCCCACTGATATCAGAGTGTTCTTTCTGAACTTACTTCATGCTATTTTAAGGCTTGCATGTGTTTCTATTTGTTTGAGTAGTTTTTACATCGAGTTATTCAGCGATGCTTTGTGCTCACTAAAACTGTGAAGGTGCCCGACTAGCTTATTCAGTAAAGTAGTAGTAGACTTTTAATGTCATCGTTGTGAGTGTGAACGATAGAAGTGATTGTCTGTTCACTGTCCACTTTGAATCTCAGTGGCTGACCGCTCGCTCACCTTGTGAGTCAGAAAGCCGTGGGTACGTAACGGTTGAAGAGTCTCAAACTAGAATGAAACAGCTGTGCAGTACTTCCTGGTGTTTTGCGGTGGTGGTTCAAGTGGCGGGATATTCATCAATCACGAATGTGGCCCGCAGTTCGATTCCCAGGCCGAAGCACTTCTAAAGCTAGCTTAGTCGGTATTAACCATGGTAAAGAGGGAAGATTGGTCGTGCGGCTAACATTCTATCTCATAAAAGAACAGCATCTCTACTTGAAACTTCAAAACTCAAGCTTAAAGCTGTATGTTCCACTGAGAACGCAAAGTAGCATATTAATACTGAAATTTTGAATGAAGTGCTATTCATCGGTACATATGTGCTACACTACTATATCCTTCTTGTTAAGTTGCATAATACGGTGAACAGTATCGAAGTGAGGCGAAAGAAAGTCAGGTAGTTTGAAAGCTGCTACCTTGACGTGGTGGTCGGGCTTGAACACCGCAATGACCTAATCAAGCTATACTGGCTGAGACTTATGTCTCTTGAGGTTCTACCATGCCAGGCAGGTTGTTTGGATAGCGGTTAAACAAAAAGCAGCTACCTCATCCAATACCATGATCCAAACAAATTCACAAAATTTCATGCCGGATCGGCCGTGGCCCGGATTAACAACGACCGCGCTTCCTGCTGCCGTGTCACAGGGCGGGAGTGATAAGTATGCTACTGAGGCACACAAAACAACAAAGAACGAACAAAAACAGGCCGCGTGTGACCGGCCACAAGCAGTTGTCCCCTGGGCTCTGCGGTCACGCAACCAACTTCCACGGTGTGGGCAGCCGGGAAGTAACAATCGCCCTCACAATCCAAAACGCACACAAAACCTCTCTAATCCTCACTTATCTTTGTCTTCATCTTCATCTCTATTACCTTGCCTTCCCCCAGTGATGCAACTCCTCTACTTGATGGCTCCTCACTCCCTCTTCACTCTGTGTCCACTAAAAACGACGAAAGCCAAAAAACCACCACGGATAGTCTCCTAAAGCCACGCCACCAATTTCATATAGGAGCATTTAATGTTAGGACACTTTGCCAAATAGGACAACAAGCATCACTAGCTAAGACCCTGGCATCTCGAGCCATTGATGTATGTTGTGTTTCAGAAACACGCATACAAGACCCAAGTGTGGTTATTCACCTAACCCCACCTGGCCAACAGGATGAATCTTCAAAATTCACCTTGAGGGTGTCAGGAGATGCCACAGCTAGTTCACGAGGATTAGCTGGCGTAGGGATAGCTCTGAGTACTAGGGCAGAAAAGACATTGCTTGACTGGATCCCAGTAGATAGCCGAATGTGTGCTGTCCGTCTGAACGGATCAGTAAGAAGGAGAAAGGACTGCACTACTCGCCGATGCCTTTTCGTAATCTCCGCCTACGCCCCCACTGACTGCAGTTCGGATGAAACGAAGGATGAGTTCTACCAAAAGCTGTCTAGTTTGGTGAGAAAGGCTAAACGCTCAGATATAGTCGTTCTAGCTGGTGACTTTAACGCTCAAGTAGGGAAATTGTGTCAATCTGAGAAGGATGTCGGTGGCACCTATGGAGTTCCGTGCCAGCGAACCGACAACGGTGACCGTCTCCTACAGTTCTGTTCAGATAATCATTTGTTTCTTGTAAGCACTAACTTTAAACACAAGGAGAGACACTGTTTAACCTGGCGACCCCCATCATCAAACCAACGCTGGACACAAATAGACCACATAGCAATAAGCTATCGTTGGCGTGGGTCGGTAGGAGATTGTCGCTCCTTCTGGAACACGTGTGTAGATACCGATCACGCACTGGTCCGGGCTCGTGTGTGCTTACGACTGAACGGACGTAGGAAACAGCTGGCGGTAAAACCATCACGTCCCCAGCTCGATCAGGAAACTAAATCCCTATTTGAGGAAGAACTAGCTAAACGCATATCTGAATTCGACAGCTGTGCTCACCCTGGAGAAGCCTGGAAGAATATTCAGTCAGCTATAGATACAGCTGTAAAAGCTGTGAATAAGACAAATCCAAAGGTGAGTAAAAACCACTGGATTTCGACTGCCTCATCCGAACTGATAGATGCTAGAAGACTTATTCCGGCGAGCTCCGAATTCAATGAGGAGCGAAAGCTGCACAAAAGGAAACTTACTAAAAGTCTCCGCAAGGACCGTGAACAGTGGTGGGTGACAAAGGCGAAAGAGATGGAAAAAGCATTGGCGATAGGCAACACTAGGCAACTCTTTAGACTCATCACAGAATCGGGCGGGAGAAGGCAATTCATAAGTGAGACTATTTCTGAGAAAAATGGCTCCTTAATTAGCTCTCAGGATAGACGCCTTGAACGCTGGAAAGAACACTTTGAGGAACAATTTAACTTGCCTACAGCCACACTGAACCTCCCCGCCATCCACCACGTACCCGAATGGGATATAGACACTGGTCCGCCGTCTGTAGGTGAGGTTACAAAAGCTATCAGTAATTTGAAACGAGGCAAAGCGGCAGGACCCGACGGAATTATTCCGGAGGTGTTTAAATATGGGGGTGACATACTAGTTTGTAGATTAACTGAGGTACTAGGCAAAGTCTGGGAATCAGAGACAGTACCATCAGACTGGGGTAAGTCACTTATTATACCGATATTCAAGAAGGGAAACAAGTCCTCGTGTGATAATCATAGGGGGATCAGCCTAACGAACATAGTCTCTAAAATCCTAGGCTCAGTAATCATGCATAGACTAAGCAGAACTCGGGAGGAACAGACAAGGGAAAATCAAGCAGGCTTTAGACCAGGTAGAGGGTGCATAGATCATATCTTCACTCTTCGACAGATTCTAGAACATAGACACACTTTTCGGCGTCCAACAATTGTCATATTTCTTGACTTGAAGGCGGCCTTCGACTCCGTGGATCGAAAGGTACTATGGCAATGTCTGACTGTGAAGGGAGTGCCAAGAAAGTACATTGCACTAATCAAGGCACTCTATTCAAACTCACGTAGTCGTGTAAGGGCTTATGGGGAATTGTCATCTGAATTGGTAACAACCAGTGGTGTCCGACAGGGATGTCCACTTTCCCCATTTCTGTTTAACTTCATCATAGATATGCTAATGGAAGTATCCTTAACTGAACGTAGTGACTTAGGAATCGACTTGTTACCAGGGAATAATCTAATGGACTTAGAATATGCAGATGACATAGTCCTGTTAGGGGAGGATGCTGACAAAATGCAGAGTCTTCTGAACACCTTGAGCAGCAATCTTCGTATGTTTGGCATGCGATTCGCCCCTGCAAAATGTAAGATGCTGCTACAGGACTGGACGACGTCAACCCCTAACTTAGTGATAGGGAGTGAAGTGATAGAACATGTTGACCACTTCACCTACTTGGGAAGTTGTATTAGCACCAACGGACTGATTGGCGATGAAATCTCAGCACGGATCCGAAAAGCTCGAGCTGCTTTCGCTGACTTACACCATCTCTGGCGTAGGCGTGACATCCGGTTATCAACCAAGGGACGTGTGTACTGCTCATCAGTTCGCTCCGTCCTTCTCTATGGCTCTGAAACATGGCCAATACGCGTTGAAGACATGAAAAGGTTGACTGCTTTCGATCATAGATGTCTGCGATCTCTGTCTCACGTTAGGTGGTTTCACAAGGTAAGTAATGTTGACGTTAGGCGTAGAGTGTTGGGCAAAGAGGGAAAATCAATCGACGAGGCTATAAAGTTACATAGACTAAGATGGCTAGGTCACGTGGTGCGCATGCCTAACCACCGCCTCCCCCGACGGGCATTGTTAGCTGATATAGGTTCAGGTTGGAAAAGAGCCAGTGGTGGCCAAACAAAAACATGGCATCAATCCATGAAATCCTTGACAGTTAAACTGAGTCAGGTAGGGAGATGCAGACTCCCGGGTTGGGGCCCTCGGGACTCTAGGAATCAATGGCTGGAGACAATAGGTGACATGGCTCAAAATCGTTGTCAATGGCGCAGATGTATTCAGTCTCTGTAATCTTTCATATTCCTTTCTACCATTACCCATTCTGTTTCACTCTTATATTTGTCAAACTCTATTGATTCTCTTCACTCATCTTCTTGTCTACCTCTGTGTGCTATTTGGAACGTGGCAACTCGAACTGCTGCACTTCGGTGCCAAGTTCTATGTTGAATCCAGACAGACAGACAGTGGGGGGTGGGCTAGAGTTAACTGGTGAGGTTGTGAAGTTCTATTGATGCACACCAAGCCACCATCTTTCTTATCGGACGATTTTAGGTGACAAAGGATTAGGTTGGAGAGAGAGTTAGGAGTGGTCAAATGAAAACCTACTATCAAAGCATGTTAAGTCTTTGACAGTGGACTTAGCCCAGCCACATAAGGAACAGCAGACTGCCTGTTTGGGGTCCTCAAAAGGCTAAGAACTAAATGACTCAATCTCAGTATAGTTCTAAGGTGAGTTACGTGGAATGGAATGTCACTCAATAGCCTATTGTAATTCCATGCAGATTGTAATGAGTCACATTTATTTTGTGAGGGCTGTGGGGCTGCTTAAACTTAGGTAGGTTGAGCAAGGTGTGAACTCATAACCCGCTGGTAGAGTGTCCTAGACAAATGAGAACCACAACTTCAGTAATGTGGACCACCTAGGTTTCTACATCTTAAGTAACACCGTTTTTTCTATATGAATTAATATTTTTATTCCATACTTAACACTAACCCAACATTTATGGTAATAGAGATAAAATTTAGTTAATAATGCTTGTGATGGTCAATTCAAGGTAGGTGAACTCGTTTCATTGAATTTCAATTACTTCATCCAATATTTTGATTGATTTAGTTGTGTCCTCTGAGCTGGTTGACTTAGTCGAGGAGATTTCGTCGTCCACCTTCTAGACAACATGGCTTTAGCGCAGGGTTTAGTATGAGATGCACTTATTTCATTTTTTCCGTGAATGACATAATCATATCTCCTGACAACCAATGCCTTCATTGGTTGTTAATTTACACCTACGTTAATCATTTCTATTGACTTGGAATTTGAAATTTCTTGTCATGGGATTTATTTGTATATTAGTTGTAAAATTTGGACTAGAATAATGTGTGTGTGTTTGTTAATCGCTGGTTGGTTCACTTGAGTACCAGGTGTCTAGGAGTTCCTTGGGACTGTTTTCCATGTTTCCTCCATTTCTACATTCTCCCAACAGCAACATTCCGCTCCGTCCTCCTTTATTTTGGTGTGAGTGAGGCCTGGCCATTGAAAGTGGAAGACATGAAAAGATTAGCTGTCTTCGACCATAGGTGCCTGTCCTCTATCTCCCGTTTGAAGTGGTATTATTATGCCACTTCAATATATATTGAGGTTAGGCGTTCAGTGCTGGGTAAGGAGGGGAAATCAATCGACGAGACTGTGATGTTACATCGACTGAGATGGTTAAGACATGTATTACGTATGCCTAGTCATCGCTTTCCTCGACAATGGGCAATGTTAGCTGACTGGCATAGAGTCAGGCTGGAAAAGAGCTACCGGAGGTCAAACCAAAACATGGAACCAGTCAATGAAATCTACAACAGGTAGTTCAAGCCAGCCATATAGGAGGGTGTAGACTTCCTGACTGGTTGGGGTCCTCAGGACGGTAAAAACCAATGAAGGCTGGAGACAATCGGTGATATGGTGGTTCAAAATCGTTCTCAATGGCTGGCGCAGATGCATCCACTCTTTGTGACTTATGATTTCCAATGAAACTATATTGTTCTTCGTTATTACTATTCCTTTTGTCTCACCTCTGTTTACTGTCTATATTATGCATTTCTTCTACTTCCTTCTCTTGCTCTGTGTGCTACAAGTAGTGGAGTGTGGCGACTTGAACTGTTGCACATCGATGCAAAGTTCTATGTCGAAAACTGACTGACTGACATTTTCTAAATCACCAAATTCGGTCTGCTTAATTATCTACATGCATCGATATGAAAGAATACATACGTTGTGTCTTTTCACAGCTAATTTATGTCCTTGGATTAGGATTCGAAAGGGAACACCCATTTTGGCAGATATAATCTTTATTGTAGTTTATAGGGTTTATTTAGCAAATGGTGTTGGTGTTATCTTCTTCTTTTTCTATTGGATCTTTTTGTCTGCACAATATCAAATGAAGTGATTGTACTGGCTGACTTGTTGTGCTATAATCTATTTCAAGCGGTCTTAATATTCCAGCCGTTATTTCAGAGATATTCTTTATATATATAGTAGAGTAAATTTTCTTCTGGTCTTTGATGATGGTTTCTTATCAGTGTTACAACTTGAGTCTGAATACTTTTTGATCAGATTGTGGCGCCATTCATTCTTTTTGAAGCCAGTTACTATGTCCAACAAATAACACATCCTTTAATTTTTGATTTGGTTGTGTTCTCTGAGCTGAATAGTTAATTTATGAGGCTTTCATCGCCCTACTGGGTGACGTCTTCAGCGCATACTACTTCAATTTGATGAAGTGAGCTTTTCGATATCTCCACGAGTTTATTAATCATCTCTCCTGGTGACCTTGGACGTGATTGGTTGTTTCTGTGTGTTTTCACACCTTCTAGGTTACTTGTATTGGAACTGATTGTTTCCTTGACCTGATGTTTGACTTTTTGTGTGTGTGAGAGATTTGCTTCTTATCGTGGAGATATCGAAAAGCTCACTTCATCAAATTGAAGTAGTATGCGCTGAAGATGTCACCCAGTAGGGCGATGAAAGCCTCATAAATTAACTATTCAGCTCAGAGAACACAACCACATCAAAATCATCCACCTGAGCTACAAATCTGCTCTATCATATCTACATCATTTAGTTTAAAACAAAACGCTAAAATAAGTATCTCAAAAAAGTTATGACACTTTTAAGTGTAGACTAACAAAATAATCATGTTTACATCTGGCTGACTGACTGATTGGATTTCAACGTTGATATCTGGACAAAAGCGCAGGATTTCAAGTCGCCAAACAGCTCACAAAAGTGGGAAGGAAGGAAGAAATTTAGAAGGACAATAATGTACAATAATAAGAATATTTACATTGAGAAGCAGTAGGATTCAGTACATCTGGAAGGTGATTACAAAGAGTGATGAATACATCTTCGCCATTGATAATGATTTTGAATTATATCGCTAACAGTCCCAGGCTACTGTATCTTAAATTAAGGTCTTGAGGACTCCAACCAGACAGTCTACGCCTTCCTATGCGGCTGGCTAATACCAACAGTCATATACATACACCGGGTGTTCTGATGTTTAATCAATAGTTAAGTGTCTAGTTAAATGACCGTATACTGTGACTGTTCAGTTTTACAGCAGCTTTGAAGTTTCAATGGCATTAGTGTTTAACTTTTACGGGGTAAGGTTGCTAGCTTCATGTCCCCCCCCACACCTTGCTTTTTTATCGGCTAAGCTAGGTTGAGGAGTACATTGTATGAGGATGTAAACCCACCCAGTGGACCACGTGGGTGATTGACGAGCATTCTACCAGTAAACCATTGATTTCATGATACATAGTCATTATTATATTACATTGCACAACCACGACATAATTGTGAAACAATTTATATCTATCTGTACACGTAATTCAAGCTGCTCTCTTTTTTCACTATTTGCTAAAATAGATGTCGTTCACTGCTGGTAACTATTGGCTTCAACGTACTATAACACTGAAAAGACAATCACGTGGATGTCACTATATTACAGATGAAATTAAAAAAGCTTTACCAGAAATTAGACAAGTACAAATGGGAATTTTACATCTTTTCAGTAAGTGAGTTCATCAGATAATTTCTCTCTCTCTCTCTCGCTTTGTGTTATTGGTTCTTTGTTTAAGAAAGCTGTATTTATTTTCGTTGTTGAATGGTTGAAGGCCATAGTCAAAGAGGCTTGGATCTAGGTTTTGTGCTTGTTAGCACTCATCAACTAGCAAGGCCTATCTGCAGTCTTATATCCCTTCTAAGATTTGAACCCGAGTCATTCAGTGTAGCAGCCAGACACCTTACCACTGAGCTTTTCGAGTTAGCTGTTGACCTTCTGTAGGAGGTTTCTCATCAAAGATTACCAAGTATTTGCGCTATGCTACATAACTGCTGATGTGTATATCACACTATCCTAATTACTTTGATTACACACTAAGTTAGTAATTAGTGTAACGCGTCTAGTGCTTTATTTCATGCGTACTGAATTCTATTAGTCAAGTGTCTAACCAACAGTATCCAATACAGTCTTACAGGATGTCAATTGCAAACCCAAACTGCTCAGTTGTAACATCTCTGACTGTAGCACTAGGCGATTCGGGTTTGAATCTCAGAAGGACTCTGAGTTTCTTCAAGATTGAAGATACGCCTTACTGACTGGTGAGTGTGAACAAGCACGAAACCTAAGGTGAAGACTCCCTGCCAATTATCGACTCCAACTGTCTTACATCATCTAATTGTTAAATGTTGTCTACCTGATAAATTTTTGAAGAAAGTGCTTGTTTTGGATAATTTCATACTTGCAAGTATTGATTTTGTAGGGATTTCATTTGTTTGATTGGGGGTTTCATCATGAGCTGACATTAGTTAGAGAACCATTGGAAAAGCAGCTAGAAGTACTGGACAACTGTTTCGTCCTAGTTTGGGACCCTTCATCAGTACGCACCACCGGGGTTCGAACTCAGCAACTTCCGGTTACAAGACCAGTGAGATCGTAGAACATTGGGCCACTGGACCGAATCCAATGGCTAGTGCATGAATTCTAATCTCTGTCAATTCATGATATAGTTCAACCATTTCACAATGTCTTCTTTGATGAGTTGCTGCCTCACCTCCAACCTGCTGCACTCTACTGGTCACGTCTTCCCACTAGAACCCCAAGTTAACTACCTGAAGAGCCTGATGGAGTCCCAAAATGGTGGGACGAAACAGATGTCCAGTACTCCCAAGTTTTCCATTGGTTCTCTAACTGGTGTCAACTCATGATGAAATCCTCCAATCAACTTCAGACTTCTCATTGATTGATTAATTGGTTGTGATTGTGTTGGGCCGAAATGCTTGATCTCCGTTTTTGCTGACATGTTGCATCCTAGTACGGACGTTCAGATGATACTTAAGGTTTATTATGAAGCTATTTTAGCTGATGGTGACTAACAGTCGATTTTGAGACATGCACATTCCAGCCTATTTGGGATATGTTAGCTGGATGTATACCCACATTCCCAATGAATGATGGTGTTTCCACTGGGTTAAAGTCTCTGTGAGAACACCATCTTCACTCATTGGAAATGCAGGTAAATCCAGATGATGAATCTCAAACAGGATGAAGTGCACATGCCATGTATTCCACTGATAGTCACTATCAATCAAGCAGCAAACTGTTCTTTCCTTTTCTTTTTGGAATTGGTGATATCTTCGAGTGTTTTCAGTCATTTGATTTTTGAATATCGCTGTTTGCCTTCCTTTTAATATCACATATATCATTATCACTATTATTTTCTTTTTTTCTGGATTGATAGTTCAGCATACATCAGCGACTTTAACAGTGAATGAAGTAAGTCTGTATAACAGTGTGAATATAAAACTGAATAAATGTGTATACTGTCCTTTTATATCATTTATATATTTATTCACAAAAACTACACATATATATTTTACTAGTTGATCAAGGATTGACATCAGTTAGAGAACCATTGAAAACCGAATGGGAGTACTGAACAGTTGTTTCCTCTGTCCTAGTTTGGGAATCATCGGCAGTGCGCACCCATCACTAGGGATCGAATCCAGGACCTTTTGGTTACAAGGCAAGCTCGTATATCATTCATCCACTGGGACCCGATTCAATAGTTGGCGGTCACGCTAAGGGTATACGCGCTTGCCTTGTAACCGGAAGGTTCTGGGTTTGAACCCTGGTGGTGGGTGCGTACTACCGATGATTCTCAAACTAGGACAGAGGAAACAGCTGTCCAGTACTTCCAGTCGGTTTTCAATGGTTCTCTAAGTGGTAACAATCCGTCGTCAACCAACTATAGAAAATCATATAGATTTATAATTCCCTTTGGGTTCCTAGTGGCACATAAGGCTTCAGGGGCAGGGGCAAATTTCAATTTTATTCTCTTTTGTGTAGTCCGCTTTAGCTGTCTTTAGGATTGCCCATAATCTTTTGATTCCTCCGCAAACGATATCCTCCATGTCATCCACTCACCTACGCCGAACTCCACCGTTTCCCATTCGAGTACCACTCGACAGACTGTCTGGTGCATGGTATCACTCAACAGTTTATATGTATTGATCTTGAAACCAAGTTGTTTGATAGTCTTGTAAGTATCTCTTTCAGAAAGGGAAACAGTAGGTTCAACTCTTATTCCAGGGTGAAGGGTGTGCTACAACGACAAAAGTGTTGAGTAGATTATTAAAGCAGAATTTCGCCTAACAAATTATAAAAGTAACATCAGCATTTCAGAGTGAAGCTGCAGTCGACTGGCCAGAGGATTGGAGATATTATTTTCAAGATTGGCTATGAAACAATCAACTAATAGTGAACCAAGAGAAAGACCCTATAGCCACACCATCTTTCAGTATGTATAATTCTTCTTTGAGTTCACAGTGAATGTTAAAGGTACATTTGTGGAGTAGTTCCTCCGGGCAGTTGGTGGGAAGTGGAATCTTCTAATTGTTGAATTGCATGTAATCAAAAACGAAGTATATTGCCTCAGTTTAGGAATGATTGTGAAGAGATAATTAGCGTCTACGGAAAGTATTGGTCTGTGCGTCGGTGGCACAGCAGTTAGGACTCTCTCCGACCATGCATTTGATCCGGGGTTCGATCCCCTGCCGATGCACACCCGATATCAATGGTCGGCCTGCGAAATCGGGCTACCGATATCACATGGTGAGAATTCCACACATGTACCAAAAATACGGTGTGGAGTCAAGCTATAATAAAAAAATATGTCGAGGTATATGTATTTCACACAGTCCACATAACCTTGAAATGGTGAAGCTGCACTCCTACACCTCTGAGGTTATAATTTGAATCACCTTTCATTTTCTTCAACCATTTTGTAAGAAGACTTTATTCTTTCTGGTTGGATAATTTCCAAGATATGCTTGGGAGTATGTATCCAATGTTATACAAAATCTGTTTCAGATAGGATAGAGAAGATTCGTAGCTCAGGTGGATGATTTTGATGTGGTTGTGTTCTCTGAGCTGGATGGTTAATTTGCGAAGCTTTCATCACCCTACTGGGTGACATCTTCAGCGCATACTTCAATTTGAAGTGAGTTTTTCGATTTCTCTTCGAGTTTATGAATCATCTCTCCTGGCGACCTTGGACGTGATTGGTTGTTTATGTGTGTTTTCACATCTAGGTTACTAGAAGAAGATTAACCATACAGCTCAGATAACAAAACCACATCAAAATCATCCACCTGAGCTACAAATCTTCTTTATCCTATCTGAAACAGATTTTGTATAACATTGGATACATACTCCCAAAATTTCTCTCATTTTTCACCAAAGACTTGTGATATGTGGAGTTCAGGTTTATCTAGACACCAATGGATTGCATGAGTAAGACTTGACGTGTAATATTTTGACGTTTTTGAATTCAGGTAAATGGTTTTTTCAACTGAGATTCTTCCAATCAGAGTTTTAGATACTCATATGGATTGATATATCGTGTTAAAAAGTTCAGCTCAGTGTTAACTTAGCAAGTTTGATAGAGAAATACAGGAATTCCTTCAATTCTCCTATTGTTACAGTATCATTGGTATTCTTTAATGAACGGAAAACCTCTGTATTGAGTCATACACAAAAAATAATGCGTAACGGCAAAAAAAACGTATCCTTTCGACGAATTCACGTAACAGTTGTTTTTTTTAACAATGGCTGCCTCCACTCCATACTTAAAATCAGGTGGTCGAATGGGTTAACAACAAGAAACTCTGACAGCCAACTCACCAACTAATAACCTGTCTCCCAATAAATATGTCGGTGAAAACACAGACGGGGTTGAACACGCCCTGAGGAGACTGTTGTGTGACATCGTGCCGTGAGGAAGTCGAGTGGAACCTGAATAGAAAACAGCGAGTCATGCGTCCGAGTACGGCGTAGAAGAGAGCAAGAGAAGAGGGCAATCATGGATCCAGATTAAAGACGACTGCAAACAACAGGGTGAAATGGAATATGTACTGCTGAAGTGACCGCTTCAATTATTTGGGAAGCTGCATCAGCCCCAAAGGACCGATTGGTGATGAAATATCAGCACTGATACAAAAATCTCGTGTGGCGCGTATTAATCCACTTCGTCTCTGGTGTAGATGTGATATCTAGTTACCCACCAACCAAAGGGCGTATGTAATGCTCAGCACTTCTTTCCGTCCTCTTTCATGACTGTAAGATATGGCCATTGGAAGTAGAAAACTTGAAAGATCTGTCTATCTGTCTTTGATCATAGGTGTTTGCATTCTGTCTCCTGTGTTGAGTGGTATAATACGGTGAGTAATATTGAGGTTAGGCGTCGGTCGATCGCTAGATAAGGAATGGAAATCGATCGATGAGGTTGTGAAGTGGTATCGACTGAGATGGCTAGGATACGTGTTTTGCAATCAGAGTCATTGCCTTTCTCGCCGAGCAATGTTAGCTGACATAGGTTCAGGTTGGAAAAGAGCTATTGTTGGTCAAACCAAAATATGGCTTAATCAGTCAATAAAATCCATATAAAACAAAATAATTGAGCAAAGAGTATCGTTTTCGATAATGCCCTCGTCTGCCCCTACAGTTATATATACAACTTTATGTACATATAATATTCCAGAATAGTAGTCAATAACAATATTGGTGTTTTGAAATATAAGACTTGTAGCTCAGGTAATATCAATCGAATTACAGTTAACTAAAAATGAATAAATTATAATAAGCATGAAAATATAATAACTAATAGAATATCAAATAAAATTAAGGGAATTCCCACAACAAATTGAGGATCATTAGAACCTTGATGGTCAGCGGGGTAAGGACAGTGTCTGAACCAACCTCAAGTTTTTCGATACACAAGTTAGGTTTCTTAATGAATGTCTTGACAGCCTCAGCAATATGTAGTAGGCGAACGCTTGAGATGTAGTTCAGATTTGTTGGAATGCGGTTAATGACTTTGAAAGCCGCCATGTTGACATCAATCTTTTTTTGTTTTGTATCCACAAGATGAGATAGAATAGCTCTGTGAATGGATTTTGTTTGTCCTTTACTTAGCCACTTTGTAGGGTGATGTTCAGAAATCCGACGATAAACACGCCTAATTGTACGGCCTAAGTAACTGGCTCCACAGTTAGTTTAAGCCAACCGCATAGGGACATGTAGACTTCCTAGCTGAGGTCCTCAGGATGTTAAGAACCAATAAAGGCTGGAAACAATTGGTGCTATGGCTCAAAATCGTTGTCAGTGACTGGAGCAGATGCATTCACTCTTTGAGACCTCTCATAGTGACTGAGCCCCAGTGCTTTTAAAACTACTATTATCTCTTCCTCAAATGGCGGCCTGCTTAAATCATTGGGCTACCGAAATTACTTTCCTCCAAAATGCTTAATTTCATCTGGATTTATCATTGTTTTAATCGTCCAGTTATATCAAATGACCTATACATGAACTTGCGCGATGATTTAACTTGTTCCCAAGTGAACGCTGTACAATTCTTCAACGAAATTTTTATTTTTATTTTTTTTTTTTTTATTTTCCCACTTTTTGGAAGGAATTTTGGGGCCCAAATTGGCCCCGGGGGGGAACCCCGGCCGGGGCCAACCCCCCATGAGGATATACTTCAGATTATTACTTTATATGTGAATCCTGTGTGAAGAAAAAAGTACTTCGGAACTGAATACGCTGAAAATTTTTGTACTGTATACTCGCATACTGTCTTAAATAAAGCTTTACCATTATTATTATTATTATTAAATATTTCATTATTGAAACATTTGGATCCCTGTCTTTTCTCTCTCTCTCTCTTTTATCCACCTTTGTATGCTAAATGGACTGTGGCAACTTGAATTTCTGCTTTTCTGTGTAAAGTTCTATGTTGAAACCGGTCAGTCAGTCAGTCAGTCAGTTGAAGGCCTATATTCTACTATGAATCCAAAAGGGTAACTATAATAGTACTTAACAGTTGATGGGGACGAGATATAACCAATCTTTATAAGCATTATCGGAATGCTTTGTTGTATTGTAGACACTAGTGGTTTAATTTTTTTCCTTTTTCTTTTGCTCTTATTATATACACGTTTTTATAATTCTTTTGTTTTGTTTTTCAATTGATGATGCACAGAGTTGGGATCCGTCTGTCAAGTGAGTAATCTTCAGTCTTTGAGGGATATATCTCCATTCAAAATTTTCGTTTATTATAAGACTTTTTTTGCATTTCTATAGTTTTCTGCTTTTATATGTGTCAACTTAAACTGCTTGAAAGTTCTTTTTGTTCAAATTTTCAGTGTAGTTCATTTGCACTCCTTCAAGGTCCTTCACATTCACACAACCTTATATGAAATTAGATCTCAGGATTTGTTTTTTAATAGGGTCACTGAATAACTTTGAAATTCTGAGCCACTGTGCTTTTTATACCTTCGATGTAGAATTTTAATAGTTTGAAAGAGCTTGAATTGTTTTCTCGTAGGTGGTATTTCAATATCAGTTGGAGAGGTCGTTGGAGACCAACAGACATCATCTGGCAGTCGTTGTCTCGTCCCAGTTTGAGACTGCTCATCAGTATACACCCTGGGTCACACCAAGAATTGAACGTGGGACCTTTCTTTCAATCACTCAGGCTGGGATTTAATGACCTGTCAGTTCTCTGGGGCATTCATCCAGCAATCACCATCAGATTATGGTGACGAAGTGAACTCATCACTTCACTTATTAGGATAGAATTACTATCTATCTAATGTTTAGTGTTTTGCAGTGAATTTACGTTCTGTGTAATATTGATTGTCATTTAATGAAGTAATCCTTCTTATTGTTACCTCTCGTTTGTAGGAAAGATATGGAAATGCTCCTCAATCGCCTTGTGCCTGAGGTAGGTTTATTATTATCATCATTATTACTTATTATTATTTTTTTTCTTTACGTTTCGATTGGTACATAAGGCTTCTAGCGCAAGCTCTGAATTTTCAGTTGCAGTAGATTTTTTTCAAGGAGTAGGGTTGTTGGGCCTCCAGCCCAATTTCCCCTGTTTCTAACAGGCTTACTACCGCCTAAGTGAGGTTTCGGAGAGCGTCATCTGGGAATTGTATCCTGAACCATGTGGATAGGTGACGAGTATTCTACCGTCGGGATATGCTTAACTGAGTTTAAAACAACTTCACCGGTTCTCATTCACTTAATGAAGCTTTCCATTTGCATTCGAATATATATATATATATATATATATATATATATATATATATATATATATATACTGTTTGACATTAATGTGTGTTTTTTGTTCTCATATTTTGTAGTCATTACAATATCAGCACTCTTGTGAAGGTCCTGATGATATGGTGAGTTTGCAGAGATTGTTCCACATTCCATTGTTACAACATTATATACATGCAATATATATATATATATATATATATATAATTTACTATTGTTATTGTTCCCGTAGACTCCCAGTGGGGCATAGGGTTGCAACAGCACACCTCCATTCCATCCGACTCTCTCAAATCCTCTTTAGCTATCTTCACGATTGCCCATAGGCTCTCATTTCCTTCTTATCATCCTTAGACGCCTAACTCTTCGTTTCTCATTCAGGTTTTGACCGAGGCCTAGTCTGGTGTGCGACGTCAATCAACCGGTCCCCAGCATGTCTGGCGCACCTCACCCCATCTTTTTCTATTTGTGAGGTGGTTGGGTCATTTCCAGAGTTCTTTGCTGCTAATCCCTTCTACAGATCTTCGAGTTTCAGTGACACTGGACATAGATCTTCCACGAAGTCGAATTTACCTCTGTCCTGTTGCACGGCCTACTGAATGATCCAGTCCACGACAGTCAGGAATATCACCAGCGATAGTAGTCAGCCTTGTGTTTAATTCTGTCTCTGCCTCACGACCTACGATCGCATTCAAAGAAAGCGTGCTATGAGGATATAAGGTGTAGTTTTCGCGTATGGCTAATATTCGGCTTACAAATTACACCAGTGTCTCTAAAAGAAGAAAGATGATTTACCAAAATTTACGTGGTCATGTTAAACGACCAGTGAGAAGGAATGGAAATTCTAAAAGATCAAATTTTTTAAACCATACAAATGAGAGGTAAAACGAAATGTGTGTACAAGAATAGATTTAATTCTAAGCAAACCACTGCTTCACTACTTGACTATTGGTATGTTATTTATTGACGCAGACGCTAGACTTATTACCAGTAGGTCTTAAGTTTGAATACCTCTCCATCTATTTTGAGCCTATATAGTTGGGTAGTAGTGTAAAAACAGAAGACAAGGGCCAGGAAACAGATCGTTTATTAAGGAAATCAACACATATTTATAGATTTTCATATACATTATTTAGATAAAGCAATAAGAAGACGTAATTTGTCTGAATCGTGTAATGTATTTGCGCAACACATTTCGAACAATCTGATCACACACGGACTTGTCATAGGAATATATACATAAAAAATTAATAAGGAGGAAGGGGAAAAAAATGATAAAGAATTAGAAAAAAAAAAACAAAAGAGTAAAAAATTTTAATTTTAATTGGAATTCCCAATTTTGTTAATTTTTTTTTTTCCCAAGTTTAAAAAAATTAAGTTAAAATATTTTTTTTTTTTTTTTTTTTTTTTTTTTTTATAATATACATTATTGTGAATTATTGTTAGCAGAAAAACAGTCTTCTGATTGGTTGTTTCTCACTGAAAGTTAATCTTTTATCTACTTGTGGCTGTTTCTTGAAGGTCGGATCCTCTATCTGCTAACTGTATCCACCTACGCAAAGTCTGCTGTGATTAGTTGTTGAATCAGTCTTTGTTCTTATCTTTCTCACGACTAATATTTGGGACGTAAACATTGACGCAAATTACTGTCTACCAATTTGGCTAGCAGCCAGCTCTCACCACAGTAGCGGCTTGCTTAAACCTAAAGCTGAGTCATCAGTAGCTATTTGAGACCTGAAACTGGACCTCTGCATTCAGCAACACTCACTCACCTTACCACGTTTCATATTTAGTGAAACTATTTTTCTAATTCACACATATATATATATGTATATATTTATTTATTCTTATATATTTGTCATTAGCCGGCGCATGCTAAACAAGCCCTACTAGGTGGACCGAGTACCACAGTACCTATTATGAATGGTGAATTGGCTTTAGGCACTTGGCAAGGGATATGGCTTTGTGAACATAGAAATTCCGGTGGTAAGTTGTGTTTCAGTTCAGCTTATTGTTACTATTATTCCTGTCACATTATCTTCCTGAAATGGTTATTATTTTTTCAACTACAATTAAAAACTTAAATCAATATTATTACTGTTGTTCCGTTGGGTTCCTAGTGGAACATAGGTTTTCAACTGCACGTCTCTACTTGCTTCTGTCTTCCTTCTGCTGTACTTTTCACCTGCATCCATGTTAGTCCATACTGTTTCAACTCCTCTTCACACGATCTCCTCTATGTTACCCTTGGACTGACGACCAACTCGTCACTTCCCTATCGGCATGGTTCCACTCGAGGAATGGCCTGACGCGCGCGCGATGTCACCCAGTGGCCTACTCAGTGAGTGTTCAATCCATCTCCACTTTCTCCTGCATATTTGTTGGTTGGTGATTGGTTCTTGTTTTGTTTGTTCCCATGGTTTCTTGTTGGTGATCCTTTCCGGCCCGGTGATCTGATCTTCAGTATAGAACCAGCGAAGGCAGTTGTTGATGAAAGTCTGCAACAGGCTCTTGGAAATATTCTTTGTGACCCGCCCGCCACGTTTCTGATCCGTGTTGAAAGAAGAACTGACTGACTTAACGTTGTTTGTATTGAAAATCCGACTGAATTTTGTTGTTGATGCTGGCTGAGTGACGAAGATTTCCAGATTGGTTTCAGGTTGGTCGATGAATGTGTTTTTCGCCTTCCCGATTCTCAATCGATTTGACATCCTTGTCTGTTCCTCCTGTAGTTGAGACAATGCTCCCCAGATAAGTGAGTGAAGTAACCTCTTTCAAATCCCTCCAGTTGACGGTGATTGGTGCTGGATGTCGCTGTTGTTGTTGGTTGGTTATTTTCATAACCTCCGTCTTGTCTATTTCCGTCTGGAGTCCTGTCTTCGCCGGCTGATTCTTCGACCAGTTTGTCGTTCGGTTTTCGCTTGTAAGTCGTCGATTTTGTGTGACATCAAACATAAATCATTCACGCGCGAAATCCAGGTCTTTCAGTTTCTTCACGTCAGTCCAGGATATCCCTGTCTTCTCCTTTCCCACTCACTGTCTGACGCATAATCCAGTCAACCACCTCGCCTAGATTACTGGCTCACTAGTTTTCTAGCCGGTCCCAACCCCGGATAAAGAGGGAGGTTTGGGGCGTGGTGCTAGCAACCCCACCTTAAAAACTTAAACAAATCGCTTCAGAAATTTCAATGCACAAATATATTGAAAAAACTTAAATTAGTAAGAGGCAATTATAGTTCATCCTTAGCCCAAGTACTGTGGTGACACCTGGCTGAGAACAAGCCAAAATTGTAGACAACAATTTACGTCGATGTTTGCTTCCCGAGTCTGGGGCATGCGAAAAAAACAATAACAAAGCTAACCTTGAGGAACTCACCAACCAATCACAGCAGACCTAACGTGCGCAAATACGATTTAACAGATATATGACTTAACTTTCTAAGAAACGATCACAAGCAGTACAGAATAAACTTCAGCAAGAAAACGCTTAATCAGAAGACTTCACTTCTTTGCTAACAATAACGTTAATAATAATGCGTATAAAAGTCTATAAATATTCGTTGATTTTCTCAATAAACGATCTGTTGCCTAGCCCCTGTCTTCTGTTGTTACAGTGGAACATAGGGCTTTAGCAGCAAATTTCTTTCCCACTCTGTTTTTTACTATCTCCAATTTTCTCTCCTTATTTGATCTTCACATCACACCCAGACGCCCAGCTCACTTCTTTCCTTTCGGGTTACACTTGAGGGCCTGACGTTTGACGTCATTCAACAGTTTATTCAGTGTATGGCCAATTTATCTCTATTTCCTTGTTCATATTTAACTGGCGAAACCATTGTTGACTGGTTCGTTGCACGGCGAGAATTTGTTGTTGTTTGTTCTCTATGACAAGGCATTTGATCTTCAGTGGTGACTGAAGGTGACAGCTGTTGATGGAACTCTGCAGTAGACCGTTGGAAATGTCTTTCGCGACATACTGAGTCTATAAAGCATATAGAAGCACTGGCTTGACATTAGGGTTGTATGTTGTTGTTCTGTTGAATACCTTAAAATCTCCACACTGATTTCAAAGTAATGGGGTTCTGTCTTTCTTTTCTGATCGTATTCTGGCTGATTTCGGGATCCTCCTCATGCGTTCCACCTGTAAGTATGAAGCGGCGTCATGTAGGTCAGGTAGGTGAACGAAGCAACCTCGTTTAGACTTCCTCTGTCGATCCCAACCGATAGCTACTACCTTGACGTAGTGGTCGGACTTGCACATCGCGTTGACCAAACAAGCTACACTGGCTGGAACCAATGTTCTTACCCTGCCAGGAAGTTGTTAGGATAGCGATTAGACTAAATGCAGTTACCGTCATAGTGTAAGAATCTTTCTTACACAATGCTGGGGGTCTGAGGGCGAAGTCATACTGCTGAGGAGCAGGGGTGTAACAGCAGTGAGGTGTTTCCCTCAAATGACCAGCATGTCAGTCAGCCACCTATGCTGTCTCTCCACTCCGGAGAGAGGGGGTTAGAAAAGGTCGACCCCGACAATTGTACATCCCGACTTACCCTACGGTGGTCCCTAACCAGCGGTAAGTTTACTAATACGGAACCAATCCCAGAAACCAGTTCATAGATGCCGTGTGTGACCAGTCGGCCTTAAGCAGTTGTCACCTGGGCTCTGCGGTCACACAACACTAACCCTCTTTCTGTTTCAGGTACCCGAAGAATCAGTCAACTCCCACGGTGTGAGCAGCCGGGAAGTAACAACCGTTCACACACTTCCCAGAGCACACGAAGCCTTCCTGAGCATCATTCTCCTCAACCCACATCTCCTGTCTATAGTGTTGTTGTTGATTAGATGTCTTCATCACCTCTATCTTCATTGTATGCACGTGAATTTCTGTCTTGGCTGCCTTCCGCACCAAAAGTTAGCCTCTGTTTGTGCGACATCAAGCATGAATCCTCCGCGAAGTCCAAATTTCTAGGATCGATTTTGTCATTCATCGTATGCCTGTTTCATTGCACCTTCTCCCATTATCTGTCACATGATCCAGTCTACCGCAGCCGGAAGATGAGCGCGATGATACTTATAGACAAACACTAAGCAAAAGATTAGTTATATCTTTTAAGCCTTTTCGTTTGTGTGTCAGAATATATGCAAAAATGTTCATCCAGAATCTCCTTATAACTTGTTTAAAAGACTAAAGTTAGGCAACTCTTCTGTTTGGTCAATTTTTCAAAGGTAAGACTTGGTTTGTCTCGTAAGGTTTTTCAACAGGCCATACACTTTCATCACAACGGCTGTTTGCGCTAAGAACAGGAGATTTGATGGCCAAAAAGAATAGGAGATAGGGGGACTTTAAGAACGAACCAACCAAGAACCTGTTGTCCAACAAATACGTTGAATATAAATATTGGAAATCGATAGAACATAGGCAGGGGCGACTCTTTTTAGAGACATCCGGCGACAAGCCAGTCTTCTTCCAGTCAAGCCGAATACGAAGCGGCGCGTTGTTTGTAGGCGCGAGGCCAATATCCAATAGATAATGCGGCGAGGAGATTACAGCTTATGAACAATCATGAAGTCAGTTGAAAAGGACTTCAGAGAACCAGATGGAATAGAGAAATGGCTATGAAGCTTTATGTTCCAGTCGGAACCCAAGGGAATAATAGTAATAATATTGATGATAATCGTGAATACTCATCAACGAAATTTTTTTATGTCGTTGTGGTATTCATTACTTTTACGGGATGGGGTTGCCAGCCTCATGTCCAACCTTCCCTCTCTACCAGTCTTATTACTGGCTTAGCGAGGTAAAGGAGTGCGTCGACCGACGATCGAATCCCGGACCAAATGCATGGTCTTACTTACTTTACTTTACTTCGGCTATCTCCTACGGGAGGATGAGCCGGCTTCATGAACCATGAAGTATCATGGGAATTGGATACGAGTGATGTCCCCAGCATCGCTCGGCCTTTTGTTTGAGAGTACAGCTCTAGCCTTTACACAACCAAGTGTGACCTACAAGGCAGTAGGAGTGGAGTAGGGAGTCCACTATCCATTGGCAGCCTGTGACCGGAGTCCGGTTCATTCGCCTTTTTGAATGGGGCCAGTCATCCAGGGCATCCAATAAGCCCTTTGTCCATACGTCTGCCGGTGAGCTTCATACGCCAGTCGTTGGAGGTTTGGAATCAGGGTTTAGCCATCTCCCTAGACTGTCATCCAATGGACAGTCAACCCGGTGAAGAGCGCCGGGCATCCGCTTTTGCCCTCTCACTTTGGTGAAAAACACCTCCGCCACGTGAAGGCAGTGAGTAAGACTTCCTCAGGAGAGGCTATGTAAGACGCCCGGTCATATGGGAGCATTTCAAGAGGTGTACGGAGGGGTGGCCAACCCGCAGCGCAAGACACCCACCCCCGACCATCCTGAGGCTTTGGAGGCTGACGAACATTCTACCACTGTGCCACCGACATTATACTCAGTATAAAGACAGGAAGCATTCTTTTCAACACGAATACATTTCTAGTATCATTTTATCACCTTTTGCACAAGAGTCGATGTTATATAAGTTACAGATTTTATACCTATCCATTGTCAAACAGTACATATATCTAATAACTATTATTCCAAGTCATCATTGTGGTGAGAGCTGTCTACTAGCCAAAATTGATAGACAGCAATTTACGTCAGTGTTTACGTCCCAAATCTTGGTCATGAGAAAAAAACAAGAACAAAGACTAACCTTGAGGAACTCATCAACCAATCACAGTGGACTTAGCGTGGGCGAATACAATTAGCAGATATATCAATGGACTGTCTAAGAAACGGCAACTAATAGTTGACAGAATAACCTTTAGCAGGAAAACAACCAATCAGAATATGTTGCTTCTCTGCTAACATTAACGAATAATAATGTACATAAAAATCTATAAATATCTGTTGATTTTCTCAATAAACAATCTGCTGCCTGGCCGTTGTCGTCTGTCGTTACAATCATGACCTCTGGTCTTATACATTCATTGAAGAATTCTTTAAAACACACGTTCATTTTTAGGTCATATTATGTACAGCTAGCAATAATGGATTAAAAAGAATTCATACCTTGAAAATAGTCAGACTAGGAGACTAGGTACTAGATGTTGTGACCTTTGATATATTTCGTTATTTTCATCACTTTCCTGAAGAAGTCTAAATTTTTGTTGTTGTTGTTGTTGAAATAAACGTCGCCTTTTTCTAAACTGACTAAGATTTCACAAAGTTGTGCCCTTCTTCACTGGAATTAGGCGGCCTGCTTAAATCATTGGGCTACCGAAATTACTTTCCTCCAAAATGCTTAACTTCATCTGGATTTATCGTTGTTTTAATCGTCCAGTTATATCAAATGACCTATACACAAACTTGCGCGATGATTTAACTTGCTCCCAAGTAAACGCTGTACAATTCTTCAACGAAATGAGGATATACTTCAGATTATTACTTTACATGTGAATCCTGTGTGAAGAAAAAGTACTTCGGAACTGAATACGCTGAAAATTTTTGTACCGTATACTAGCATACTGTCTGAAATAAAGCTTTACCATTATTATTATTATTACTACATAAGTTTGAATCATTGATCGAAGTTCGTATTCCCATTTGTTGCTTCTCTGCATCGGTAATTCACACTGGTAGACTGCCCACTAACCGCTTACTTGGTTCAATGATTCGATTCTCCGCCTGCGGGTTCCTTCATCAAGTTGGGTGTTACAACATACAGTCATGAATAGCATTGACTGGCGGTCGTGTTATATAAGTCGCAAATTGGTAGAAGTTGGAATTATCTAATATAGAAACAAGGTTAATCAGACAGTAACTAAAATGAGATCGAGTTAGTAAGTTAGATAACGTAATGTTTATAATTGACTAAAATGTTTCAACTTAGGTCGGGATGGCAACAGAGGTAATTACAGGTAGAGACTAAGTAGATGTTGGGCAAATAATAATACCATTTAAAGATGAACTGAAATTGAGCAAATAAGTTCGGTGACGTAACATAAATGACTAGAAATTGAGCTTCGGTCAAGTCAGTAACAGTGGTAATGAAGTGTAGAAATTAAATAGGGTGGGCGTGGAGAACTGAAAAGTTGAAAATGTAAAATATTACAATTGAGAAGACAAAATAATACTAATGAAGAGACAGAAAGAGTCTGCGAATCAGGCTTCTTCAAACTGCAGAAGCAATTGAGATTCACTTGCTAAGTCCTGAACTCTGCATACAGAAGAAGTTTGTTCAATCACTACACTAGCAATGAACAAAATAATACTAATAAAGAAACAAAGAGAAAACAGAATTTACCTATCGGGTATAAAGACAGATTACGTCCATTGCAAGTGTAGTGATTAAACGAACTTCTTCCCTATACAGAGTCCAGGACTTAGCAAATGAATCGCCATTGCGTCTGCAGTTTGGAGAAGTTTGATTCGTACACTTTTAGGAAAACTTCTTCGTATTCTGTAGACGACTTTAAAGTTTGTTTGGGGTGTAGCTGGGTGTCCGCTATCTATCAGATGTTCTAAGATAGAGCTGCGGGGGCATCGTTTTTTCTGGTTTGTAAAACCGTTCTGGTAATTGTTCGGTAATATATTTGGAAAGAGAACGCTGAGTACGGCCGACATACCTAGCTCCACATGAGCAGGTGAATTGGTAGATACACACTGATGAAGCCAGCACTGGTAGCTTATCCTTCACATTCATACGAATCATAGGTTTCATGGAGAAGTCTAATCGTAATTCGGCTGCGAAGAAGGTTTTCTTAAGGGAACGGGATAGTCGATTTTCCAGTTTTTTTTTCACAGATGAAGTTGAAGCATTTTAGTCAATCATATTACGTCATCTAACTTACTAACTCAATCTTACTTTAGTTGCTGTCTAATTAACCTTGTTTCTTTATGAGATGTGCACTGTGTTGATGATGATGATGTCCAAGGATGTCTTTGTTCTAGAGAATTATATATTTATATCTTGATCCATTGTTGTTGAACTGTCCGTCTATCGAATGCTTTCAATATAACTGTCTATTCTTTCTTATCATACAGGTTCACGTAATATAGTCGCTACTATTCAAGGATGTCTTCAACAATAGAATCATATCAATACACTGTACCACCTCTTCGTTGACTATCTTTGTTTGATATTCACTCACACACACACACACACTCTGTCTCTTTTTTATATCTAAATTATTCCCCACCTGAAATGAGTGTTCGTTTACCTTCAGCTGCTGACTGCCTATCACCTTTGTGATCTATCTGTCTACAATTACGGAATTGACTTTTGTTTTCTTGCCTCTATCCTCCATGCTTCCTGCTCCTCCTCATCATCATCATCAATGTCTGCGTTCTCTTTTTCTATTCATACTGTACCATTTCTAACTATATAAGCGATTTTCTTTTTTTATTATTGACGATACAGAGTTCATTGCTGACTGACGGACTACACATAAAAAAGCTTAACTTCAAATGGGTTCTTCTTAATTCCTTTTGTTTTCGCGTTTTTATTCGCAACAATGTCCTGAATATATATATATAGCGAAAATATTCATTCAAAAATCTGGAAAAAAAGCAAGCAAGCAAAATAATTGAGCAAAGAATATCTATTCTTTTCGATAATTTCCTCTTCTGGCTCCACAATTAGATATACTTTTTTTTGATTTACAGCTTGATTCCACACTGTATTTTTGGTACAAGTATGGAATTTTTAGCATGGAAATCGGTAGCCCAATCGTAGCCGACCATAGATATCAGGTGTGCGCCGGCGTGGGCTCGAACCCCGGACCATGTGGATGGTCGGCGAGAGTCCTAACCACTGTGCCACCGACGCACAACTTTATATACATAGGATATTCTAGAACAGTCGTTATTAACAATTTATTTAATTTATTTATTTAAACGCATAAAAAACTTGGTACAGTATGGCACCAAGAAAGATGCGCCACACAATAATAATAAAACAACATAGATCAAAAAAAAGGAAGGAAAGAAAGAAAGAAAAAATATATATAAGTAGAGAACGGATAAAGAACTTCATCTGGATGGAAAACAGTCATGCTTAACAAGTTCAAACAGTATTCGTTAACTATCATCGGGAAGGGAAGAAAGAAGGAAATCACAACACATTCGCCACTGATTACGATTCTTGGCCATATCCGATAACGTTTCGAGCCATCGATTTGAGCTATCTCTCGGACCCCAACCAGGGAGTCGTGACACACCAACCGATGCTAATCTAGCACAAAAATCCTTCATCCCACGACGCCACGTCATGGACCGACCACCACTTCGCCTTTTTCATCCCGTCCAAGGGCTGGCTAGCGAACAGAGACCTGTACGAAAGCCTCTGGGGTGACATTCGGAGCACATGTCCAAGCCACCGGAGCCGGTGTTTCCAGATGACGACATTCAATGAATGGTGATCTCCACTTTGTTCAAACACACGCCGTCGAGCACTATTGGTGTTATTTGAAATACTATCGATTTGTTAAGTAAGCTAACAGTGGAATTACAGTTAACTAAAGATGCATAAATAATAAGAAGCATAAAAATAGAATATCAACTAAAATTAAGGAAATTCCCCCCCCCCCCCAACAAATTGAGGATTGTTAGAACCTTGATGGCCAGTGAGGTTAGGACAGTGTCTGAACCAACTTCATGGTTTTTTGATACATAAGTTAGGTTTCTTAATGTGGATCCCTCATGGCCTCAGCAATATGAAGCAGGCGAACTCTTAAGCTGAAGTTGTTGTTATGCGGTAAATGACTTTTAAAGCCACCTCTCGTTGACATCAATTTTGTGTTCTGTATCCCACAAGAAGATAGAATAGCGCTATGAATGGATTTTGTTTGGTTTGACCACCCCTTAACTATATTTCACAGAGTGATATGTAAACTGCTCCAGCACCACAGAGTTTCTCGAAGCTTTATCAACTTCATTCGACAGGTGTATGACAATGCCATGGAAAACCCAGAGAAGCCTTTGAAGGGTGGTGACAAGGTTGCCATTCGAATCCAAGAGCACAAATAGGCTGTACAAAGGCATGATATGTATTCTTTCTCCATATCGATGCATGTAGAGGATTACGGACACCTATTTGATGATGAATGGGAGAATGTAGGAATTTTAAACAGAGGAAACACGGAAAATAATGCCATGGAACTACTAGACACCTGGTGAATCAACCAGCGATTAAAAAAAACATTATTATAGACCAGATTAACCAGGTGATAAAAAGTAAATTACATGAAAAGAAAGTTTGAATTCCAAGTCAATAAAAAAATATGAACACTAGAGACGTAAATTAACAACCGGTCATGACAGTGGCTGCCAGAGATATGATCACATCACTCATGGAGAATTTAAATGAGTTCAATTTATACTGAAACCTAGGCTGAAGATGTCTAAAAGGTGGACGATGAAAAGCTTCTCAATTAAATTGATAACCAGCTCAAAGAACACAGCTAATTCAGTACTCACCGTTTACTAATGTTCCATTAAATGAAACTTTATACTTCATTTATATAATATACATTATTATTGTGGTGAGAGCTGGCTACTAGCCAAATTGGTATACATTAATTTGCGTCAATGTTTATGTCCCAAATATTGGTTGTGAGAAAAATAAGAACAAACACTTTGCGTAGGCGGATACAGTTAACATATACATGATCTGACATTCAAGAAACAGCCCCAAAGAGATGCAAGGTTAACTTTCAGTGAGAAACAACCAATCAGAAGACTGTATTTGTCTGCTAACATTAATGTACATGAAAATCTATAAATATATGTTGATTTCCTTAATAAACGATCTGTTTCCTGACCCTTGTCTTCTGTCGTTACATTATTTGTTGAGCGTGTACAATCTATCTTTACTTTCTCTTACATATTTTTGAGCGGTTGGCTCTTAGTCGGTTTGTTCCAACAGTTTCTTGTTACTTATTCTTTCTCACTGGACATTTGATCTTCAGTATGGATCCAGCCAGCAATGAGGGCAGCTCTTGATGAAAGTCTGCAACAGCCTGTTGGACATCTTTTTCGTGATGCGCATTGCAGCGTAAGTTCCTGACCCTTGTCGAAGGACCGACTTGACATTGGTGTTGAAAATGTGAATCTTGTTCCTTATACTGGCAGAGTGCAGAAGATTTCCAAATTGGTTTCAGGTTCATGAAGGCGTACGTCAAGGAACTTAACCCTAAGTTCCTATTATGTGCGAAGACGCTCCGAATCGACAATTATACTGGGTACGATTATTGACTTTAACTCTAAAACACAAGGACCAATAAGAAATTGTATTCTTCGGCAGTTAAATTCAATATCGGTACAAAGTCTAAAAACAAATGTTTTACAAGAAATGTATGGTACTTTTTCCATTATGGGTAAATTTTGTTTTGATAAAGTCTCACAGTGTTATACAGTAATGTTTACTTATGACGTTTCGAGCAGCAATAAATTGATGCTCGAAACGTCATAAGTAAACATTACTGTATAACACTGTGAGACTTTATCAAAACAAAATTTACCCATAGTGGAATTACACTCTACCACAGTGCACAAGTTTCATTCTTATATCTATGGTACTTTTATTCGTATTCTTTCGTCTTCTTCCAACTTGCACATGATCGAATCACTCGCGCCTTCGAGATACCCGCCAATGGCTACCAGTTCCAATAAATAAACGTTCAATGTTCACACTCATTTACAGTGTACCTTGCCTTTCTGATTCTGACTTTGACATAGGCTCAACTAACTAGTTCTGTTTAACTTCAGGTCGGTTTTGACACCTCCAAAATAACAAAGCTCATAATTATGTGCAACATTGCATAAATGCCTCATGGTTATTTATAGTAATAAACTGTTTTTGAAAATAATACAATTAATCGATACGCCTTTAATAATCGACCTTATCAAACAGTCGGATTCAGTTATCCAGAATAATTAATACACAATTAACCTGTATATACGCTGATACTCAGCTTCTAAAAGAGAAACACAGACGGAGTCTTTGTCTTCAAGTCGGGAGGATGTCATCTCCTAGTGACGATTTACTCATCATCATAGATCCTGTTTATCAAAATTTAAAAAACTTCCAAAAAGATTATGATTATGATCTGGTGGGTAATGCTATCACCTTACGCGGTTCATTCCTCCGAAATCCAATCGGTTATTTGCACAGCTTTATTGAACGACATATCATAGAATTGATCTTTATCAGTTTAATATGTTTCGCCATATTTTTCTCCGGCATCCTTTTACTGCATGCCTTGAAAAAATGCGTTAAATACATTAAATTAGCCAAACTACTTTTAAAGGAATTAAGTAGTGCGAAGAAGCGTTTGAAAAAACTTAGGCGGGATAATATGCCAATAAATTTTGATATCTTTGCAAAAGCTATATTCACTGCATTGATAAGTTATTATGATTTATTCGAGGGGAGAGCGACGAATATCACTATACCTGAAGATTTAATTGAATATGAAATAATCCGTTTTGTCTTGGAGGCTGCATGGAAGAATAGTATAAGCAGTAGACAATTACGTAATGTAGATTTAAATTCAACATCAGTTGATGATTTACCTATCGAAGGATTGAAAGCAGATGAAGTGAAAAACGTATTCGCTGCTCTTTTCGATGTCAACGAAGACGTGGAAGAGTATGTCAAGAAAATGGAGAATAAGGAATATGATGATGCGGGAAAAGGTAGCCAAGATTCATCTGGTGAATCAGTAGACAATGAGGAACTAATTGCCGGCGATAATGAATTCGTGGCTGATGAAATGGTCAACACATTTGATGACACATCCGCTGACATGAATAAAAATAATGCCGAAATAAATGTGTTATGTTGTGAAGATAAGAAGTGTTTGAAACATACTCAAGATTTACTGACAACTACTGTCGCCTCATCAACATCTACAACAATTATTCAAAGCAAAGATCAGTATTATTATTGGAACACAGATTCGAATTGGTTCTCGTCGTTATATTGTCCAGTATCATCTGATTGTAGTGATATCGATGAATTGGTTGAGTAGGCAAATTACTAGGGTGATGATGATGTTATGCACGGGAATGACTTCGTAGTGTTTTGTTT